GGCGCAGATCGTACCATCTGCGCCGGCCCCCCTCCCCATGCACTGCGGAGAATCTTTGCACGGCAATAGCGGCCAGATAATAACAATATTATTAGAGCCTGGGACCGATATATTATAGACCCGTAAAAAAACCCCACCATGTCGGTTGCCTTTGCTTCTGCTCGCCCAAGAGGCAAAGGGGAGGTCACCCAGCAAACTATCCAGAAGGTAAAAAAGCATGCTTTTCTACAGACAATTTTAGACATTTATTCCGTCCATGCTCCTGTGGCTGAGGAAGGAGGCTTATTTCTAGGGCGATCAGGAAAACGAGTGAATTTGCGAGGACTGCGGAGATGGACAGCTGGAGAGAGAGGTGGGGGAAGGAGGAGGAGGAGGAGGTGGAACAAAGCAAAGGTGTTCAGATCACTGCGAAGAGAGAGCGAGAGAAGGACCTAGGGAATAAAATTGGGATGGCACGTTATCCCTGCTGCTCGCAGAGGGGAAAAAAGCTGCCAGTGATACAATGGGAAAAGGCAGTAAAATCTGCAAATATATGATTCGTTTCTGATGGTATGTCAGCTTCTGTCCTCCCCCCCCCCAAAAAAAAAAAAGCAAACCAAAAAACCTACCAACGGCAAAAATAAAATACTGAATTTGCAAGGGTTTTCTTTTGTATTTGGATGCAGAATTTTAATCTCTCAGAAGACAGAGGGAGCACCAATCACTGGGATTTTTCGTATACTATTACTATTATTATTTGTGATGTGCTGATTGATGTTTAATGACGAACAAAGGTTTTGCGAGATTTTCTCTGGAGAGAAGATCTCCGTATGGGTCTCATGCAGAGGCCAAAGCAGAGGGCTCCCGGTTGGGAAGTTATTGTTGCCTATTTCGCAGGATTGACAGCAGGGACTGTGCCCACACGCCCGACACCCCTTCCCCCTTCAGCAAGGGAGAGGCTGGAAATGTCAATAAAGAACATGCATGCTTTTACGTTGACCGCTACTTGTCATTTGTACTTCTACCACGTTTTTTTGCGTGTTCTCCGCTGCGTAGGTATTTAGTTTATGCGGAGTTGTGTGGCGCGGTGGAGGCGAGGTGTGTCTGTGCTGTGTGGTGGACTCCTAAATAGTGGCCAGTGAAGAGGTGCCATTGCTAGCACAGCAATTAAACGATCATCAGCGGCTATTGCAGCCAAACCGTTATCTGCTGCCAATTTATGACTTCTAGGGAAAAAAAAAAAACAAAACAACACCTCAGAGGAAAACTGGGACAGAGCAGAGGTTAAGGCAGAACAAACTGCCACAAGAGATGACTGAAGAGATGACTTGAATCTTAGGGGACTGGCAACCAATCCCATTTCGTGTAGCTCTTGCAGCACATGTTGTATTATGAACCGATTCATTTTAAATACTAAAATATTTCAGACTCGGTGGATGAGGTTTTCTCTAACCTCCAGATTGCTTGGAATTGGGACAGAATTTCATAAATCAGTTTGTACTTAAAACCATGGCTGTAGCCACAAAGGGTGGCCAAAGTGGCTTCAGTTTGATTTTCAACCTCTTTCCTTTTTTTTGCATGTTCATAAACTTTAATGGAAGCTTCGAAATGTTATTGCTTTACAAATGATGTGTAAGAACATTTCCCATCTCAGGTACATTTGCTGGCACGTTACTTCAGGACCGTTCATCCATGTTGGGCTGTTGGCAGAGATTTTCTTATTGACCAGTGGTGATGCTGAGGAAGAGACTTGCAGGCACAGTGACTGGATGGGCTTTATAGTCAAGTATGGAAACGGGGCAGGGGGAGAAGGAGCTGGGCTACGAACTCAAAAAAAATCCTCATTAAAGTGAGATTTTTAGAACACATACCAATTTAATTGAAAAATATTCTTATTTGCATTTTGCGATATATAAGCTGCCTACTTTCATTTATTAACTCAATTTTGACAGTCTTTCAGAGCTGTTATTATTCCAGCACCAACTATTCCTAAAATAGATTTCACATGGAGGAAGTTGGAGCTTTTGGCAGTAGAGCAGCGATGGTGGTGCTTTAAAACAGTTCATCAAATCGCATTTGCAGGGCAGCAAACTTCAGTTTCTTCTGTGTAATGAAGATCAGAACTCAGTTCTCTTCTATTAAGTTAGGGAAAGAGCTACTCCCGATTCCTTTTTCAGTAAGCAAAATGTTCTTCAGCTAATTGTAGAAGCATAGCCTTTTTCTGATGAAGATACCTGTAATGAATGTTGATTGGACTCCTGCTGTTGAATATGTATCTTAACTGAATGTGAAAATGTTAGCAATACCTGTTGTGGAAGCTGAAAAGGACAGGTTTATATTCTTTGCTAATTCTACGTACAGAATTTCCACTGACACAGGTGAAAATTCAGTACGACAATGAGAGCATGAAACAAAGAGCTGCACTGTGAATCAGGCAGGAGTATTTTCTCTTAAAATTACATGCTGCACCCGGGTTGCCATGTGAGCATGGGCACGCATGCAGGAGGAACGTGGATTCCTGACTGACACAGTTCTGCCGGTCCCTGTCAGCATCCGAGGGAGCAGCTGGCCGACCCGACCCCCCGGTGGCCACGGCAGCGCCGCTGCTCCCCACACCCGCGCTGACTTGAGCCACGGGGGATCCCTGCAGGTTCCAGCACCTGGAGCCTTCGTGGACGAGGGCGTCCGGCAAAGTTAGGACCAACTTGGAAATTACAAGCAGGAAGCAGGACAAGCTGAGTCCTCTAAGGGAGGGATTGTACGTGCATCAAAAAGATGCTTCTGCTCATTTTCTTATAATCTATCCCTTTGCATCTGAATGGGTCAAGAAGCTGTTCAGAACAGATACCTGCATGGATTAATTCACATTTAACTCGTGAAAACATGCTATTCTTTCCTCAGAAGTTCT